GCGTACCAAGTGTCTATAATGGAAGTCTCGAGCGAAGCCTGACAGATGGCTCGATATACAGGAATCCATCCGTTAGTTTCCCCTTTTTCGACCGCGTTGGAATGACGTTCTCAAAGACCACGTTACTGAAGCTGAGAGTTGGGTACTATACGAATAGAATACCCATCGTGCCATCGTGCTTTCTTTAGGATGAATTTTCACTTAAGTCACTCAAAAATTAGACATGCACCCAAAGGAGGTCATCCTTTGCTGATTCTGGGATTCGAGGGAAATGCTGTACTACCAGCTGCTTGCAAGGGCATACGTTCGCCTTTGTTGCTTACTTTACTCCACCTAAGACGCTTGCGGAACCTGATTTCTTACTTTTACCCACTCCTTTCTTTATACTTTGCTGTCTAAAAAAGTTTGACCATGTTCGTTGACATTATTTGGCATAATGTGGATTTTTGGATTTTGAACTTCCTTGTCCTGTAAGAAGGGTAGTACTGACCTGGTTAGTAGGGGGGATGTAGTGGCTAACAGTAGCTGTTACATTTATTGTTGTCTGGAGGACATATTCTCATTCGGGTCATAACAGAAATGAAAAGAATGAATGAAAAGAGAGGGAGTAGTCTACCAGTAGTCACTTCAAGATGACTGTGGTTAGACTTCCACCCCCCGCCCTTTTCATTAACTCTTTATTGTGAATCTCTTAGCGGAAATAGTCAGCAAGTGGTGGCTTTTTTCCCAACACAGTCCCGAAAGGGATGAAACATGTCTTTCCGTTGAAAGCACTGACATCTATATTGTTTTTTTTGAGTCGTCCAATGACAAATATGACGTGGGGCTTTTGTTAGCCATGGCGATCCCAGGTGACGATTGATGGGAGTTGCTTAGAATTACCTAGGCGAACGGCGATCGCTGGCTGCCTGGACATCGACAGAAATGTGGTGGGCGAAACTGGACAACAACGGGATTCCGCTCATGCAATACGCTTTTCATATCACCTCCCGTCGTGGTATATCAAATCCACATCGTTAAGAGGCAGTTCCAGACCAACAACTGAATACGCTTGCTTGCCAGTGTGCCTACAAACAAGCCAAAATAAGCCGACAATAACAATGCCACATAATGTCCAATCCCCTTTGAATTGCCGCCTTGATCGGGTTCCGAATTTCTACGAGAAAAAGGAAAAGTTCTCTAACCTGCCGCTGTCCGAAAAAAATTGGCCGATGAAGGGGCGATTTTCACCGCGCACAAAAAACAAGCACGCACTCGAAACAGATAGCGTGATCTTCTTTCTCGAAAATTTGAACCGAATCGTTTTCACTCCCAACCAACACGAAATAAAACATTCCCCTGTTAATTTGAAATAATTTTCGTGGAAAAATATTATCACCCTATCAACGTTGGGAAGCTGATGAGGCTGTGCACTGACACTCCCGTTCGCACATGGTCCGAAAATCGAATTTTAGATTATTTTCGCCTCAGCTAGCCCGGTTTCCAGGGTTTGCAAATTGTTATCTTTTTATCCTTGAGACGGAGTAGGCGTGGAATTTGAAAATGGCATGGAATGGTTTACTCGTGGGATATTCCAGTTCGTGACAACTGTCATCTTGTTCAGCGTCAGACAGAGACATGACCACAACTGTGCCAAAACGAAAATATCTCACGGAAAGCACAGCAACCGCCACATTTAGTTGAAGTACGCAGCCACGCCTACCCCATCCCAGGGATTTCAAGCGTACCTCTATCATCCGGGAGGATGAATAATCAGTTGGCTTTCGGAGTTACTGTTCAGGCCGAAGCTCACTCTAATACAGCTCCGATTCCGAATGGATACAGGATGTAATGCATCACTAACAACGAGTCAAGAAAAGAAACTAAGAGCCAGTAGAGCATCTATGATGAAACCTAAAATCGTGTGAGGCCAGAGAACATACATTACAGTTCCCCTGAGTGATTCGGGTCTTCGTGATATTTCAAAAAGACGCAAGTGATTACTGAGAGCTATATCAGCTATATGTAAGTTGGTGGGAAAGTACTCGAAATCGAAATATTCGGTACTGAAAATCCTCTTACTCTTACGCACTCTTTTACGATGTTGAACGCTGAGCTGACTGCATGATTCAACATTTGATAGTGGTTTCCTGATTTGGCACTCTTTTATACGAAAACCCGGTCATTTTACGAAAGCTCTCTAGAAAATTCGGTCACGTGGGCTCTGAAGTTTTTAGTTATCTACTTCACTCACCAGGTCTTTCTGGCGAGAGAACCAACGTCTAAAAAACTAATAACACACGAGTACTTTCTACTCGAAACTGCCTGTTTTCTCTTTTCCAGCTTCAAGCCCTTTTCAGAACATAAACTACCCGAGGATTGAGAGTGGCCGTACGAGCTGCGAGATTCGAGAAGGCTCAATTGTTACAAAAGTGGAACTGGCAATTCCAATTCACGTTGACAATAGCGTATCAGACCTGGCTTGTTTGTACTCTGAAAAATTCATTTATCACTCACTTTAAGTGTTGGAACTGAACATTTCCAGCGGCCGCCCACGGCAATATCACTTCAGTTGGGCAATGCAGGCCGTCAAGGGTCCATTTAATTGGGTCTATTTTGAAAGCAGTACGGCATCTGTCACCTTCTACAACTGGGAGTTCTAGCTCTAAATGCCATTGAGCTGAGAAGGCAAAGGAGGCCCCGGTAGTAAGCGGGAGATGCGGGTTCAAGTCCCGTCCCGGGTCCGACTTTTGCCAATATCTCAGCATTCTTGTGATAACTTACGAGCGCGCACTGCGGCGTTAAACAGCAGTTATCAAAACTAAAACAGTTCTAGCTTTAGTTTATCGCGAATGGTGCCTTCAAACTGGTAAACTCCAACTTTCCGTTACTTTCCCACCGAGCCAACGCTTCTTTTCTTTTTCCTAGAGCCGCCGGAACCTTATTATTGAAAGCGCCGGCTTCTACCATCTTTCCCATACCGATGGAAAACGAAGCAAGCTACCTCATAGAACGTGAGGGCTTGGGGTTGATACTGGTAGCCAACATTGTGACCGTGAAATGAGGTTCAATCTTTATTGTCTTCCTTTTCCTAGGCGAAGACTATCGATATTTCGCTTCCTGCTAGCATGTGATTGAGAAATAGTTGACTTTTTCATGGATACGCTGTGGGAATGCAGAAGGACGAGTTCTCGCACCGATACTTTCGTCATAATTAGTTCAGAAACCGCCTTAGCCAAGCCAAAATTCGGCGTTATAGTATTGACGAGGTGGGAGAGGGGGGGGGGTAACATCCAAAAGACACTTTGTGAACAACCGGGTTCACCTCAAATGATGATGTAGTTGGGACTGATTACCTTTTTTACACTTACCCACGAGCTCCCTCCTCTTAGCCTATTGTTGGTTGCCTTTGACACTGTCGTTGTAATTCCAGTTTTGCCCATGTTGCGTGTTACAGCTACCCCTCCACTTTATCAAAAAATATGGAAATCAATGAATTTCGTCCCTCAGTAACAATGGGTCCCATGCTCAAAGCGAAATGAGGAAGTGGCAAAAGACACCGTTATGGGAGGAAGCGAGTATCGCGAAAGGGCCTGTCCACCAGTAAACTGATTCCTGGTTGCTCCCAGAACAATTTGAGTTTATAGTATCCTTCTCGCTTTCATTTTAGTGACCCTTTTCCTTCCCACGTTCGAGAGATCTTTTGAGTGCAGATATAACATTATAGATGCTAGTTGACTTACCATCGAAGAACAAAGCTGAAAAAACCGTCGAAGACGCTCTGAACAAAACCCTATATTTGGACGAACATTCGAAGAGGCGAGATATTGATGTGCGGGCGAGAAGACTAGACAGAAATAACGAAAGAAGAGGAGACGAATTACGAAAGAACGATAAATGTCGATCCTACAAAGATAAAACCTCTGTGTTTAAGGATGGACAGACCCTTACATAGTTCGCTCCCAGACGGTGATGCGAAAGTACTGGCGCTTCATAGGCTTCTATGGCAAGTGCATAGCCCTGGCTCCTTATTACGGAGAGGATTACTTGTTTGAGGAAGCTTCCGCCTTCCAAGTAATGACGAAAGGTGTCAGCTCTTTAAGTTGAATTTTCCGAAAACATTCGACGGTTACGCGAGGAAAAGTAAAACACAATATCCAAAAAATTGGTTTTCACTGTGGAACTGATACGGCCACTTCGCAGACTTTTCTTTCTGGGAAGGATAGCGAGAGTGACCGCTTTTTCACGTTCCGCTTTTTAGTTCGCTTTTTCACGGTCTGATTAAGGATTCGTGTCCTTGGAGGGGTCTTCAGTAGCTTCTAGAGAGACGTTCAGTTGAGAAAGCTCAGTAAATCTTCATTGGGTCGCGGAGGGGCTTTTGAAATAGATGACGGCAATCACTTCAACCCTTAAAAAATAATGGGAACCCTCTATCTGACCAGTTCTGGGCGGTGCGTACATACCCTTGCTGTGGCTAGCTCTCACAGCCTCCCAAGGCTTATGTTCCTCATGGGGAGTGACTGTGAGCTGTCGCGTTGATGGAGCCTGCTTTCGAGCTCCGTGGTAAAGCTATCCGGTCTCGGAAACATCAAGGCGTTTTTAAGCGAAAGTCGTCCGACTCAACTCCTCCCACCGCCCGGAACGTGTACAAGTGCAAAAAGCGCCTTTGTGAGGGCGGATCGCTATCGCTGATATAAAAGGAGCGAACGCGAGAAGATTGAAGCAGGCATGGATATCGATACGAAGATCAAGGCATATCGCTTCGTAGCCTATTCGGCTGTCGTATTCTCCGTGATTGCCGTTTTGTCCGTCTGTATTACTCTGCCCATCGTCTACAACTATGTGCATACAGTTCGTCGACAACTACACAACGAGGCCATTCTTTGCAAGGTGAAACCTTTTTTCATGGCCTCCGTTGCAACTTTAATTTATTGTCCACTTTCAGGGATCAGCAAAGGATGTCTGGGCAGACGTGCACAATTTGAAGCGATTCCAACAGCCTCACAATCGTACAGCCAGGCAGACAGGCTATGGAGACGGCGAAGAGACTCATACTCCTGAGGTACCGCGAAGCAGTGTACCACCTTATGACGCAGGTTGTGAAGGATGTTGTCTGCCAGGAGCCGCTGGAGCTCCAGGAGCTCCTGGTAAGCCAGGACGTCCAGGCAGACCTGGTGCACCTGGTATGCCCGGTAACCCCGGACGACCACCGAAAATGCCATGTGATACAGTCTCTCCTCCTCCATGCAAGCCCTGCCCACAAGGACCCCCTGGTCCTCCTGGAGCTCCTGGAGCACCAGGAGACAATGGAGTCAACGGAGAACAAGGACCTCCAGGCGAAGATGCTGCTCCCGGAGAACAAGGACCAAAGGACCACCTGGAGCTCCCGGAAAGCCCGGAGCACCAGGAGATGCTGGAGAGCCTGGACTACCAGCAACGTGCGAAGCACCTCAACCAGGAGAGCCTGGACCAAACGGTGATCCTGGACCAGAAGGACCAGTGGGACCAAGTGGCCAACCCGGAACTGATGGAGCACCAGGTGAGATTTCTTATTCATTGGATCAATCAGACATACTAGAGATTCGCTGACCGGAGAATGTGGGTTTCGCGAGTTTTTCCATCGCGAGATTGTTGCTTATCCAGTCCGCACCCGCACCAATCCGTAGCGAAAACTAAATCGCATGAAAGAATGCGAGAACTGAAATTGAAAACTGCACGACAATAAATAAAGAAGAGAATTTTCAGGTCAACCCGGCCCTAAGGGACCTCCTGGACCCGACGGAAAGCCTGGATCCGACGGTAACCCTGGTCAACCCGGACCACAGGGACCTCCCGGACAACCTGGAGAGCGTGGTATCTGTCCCAAATACTGCGCCATTGACGGAGGAATCTTCTTCGAGGACGGAACTCGCCGTTGATCTGAGACAGAGGATTATTTATTTCATAAAAGATCTTTTAATAAATTCAAACACAATGACGCTCATAGAACAAAAGGAGCTAGTTGATGAATTCTGTTTCCAGTCGTCACTTTAACAGCTGTACAGGGATAATGAAATATTTTTGTCCATTCGCTGGCATGGTTCAAAATAAAATGTTTAGGAAGAGTACGAGGGGCATAGTGCTTGTGAAACTGTGTCAAAAAGAAGTACTGATCGAGAATTTGAAGAAGCGGCTATCGAACTATTCGGTATTTATTAGCAATGTCGCAGAAGCGTACGCGACAACGCGCGCGGAAATACCAAGCCACAGCGACAGCTTTTGCCCTTTTTTACATGCACTGCCTTCCTGATTGACCCTCAGATATTTTCTACTGATTGATCTACAAGCATTTTCTGCCATGAATAAGCACTCGGTTCGATTCCGCTGAAAGAGATGGCATGAAACAAAGTACTGAGACGATTGATGTGGTCTGTGCTCTGTCTCACATCTTGAGAGGGGTTGTAATTGCGGACTCAGTGCCGCTCGGATGTTGGCGAAAGCCCCTGTGCCGGCAGACAGGGCTAGAGGGAATGGCGGCTGTCCCCAAAACATCAAAATGCGCAAGAATCCTCTGGCGAGCCAGGATCTGGGTTTTTGCAAAGGAACGGGACTCCGGGTGGGTAAGCCACCTATTATATGTGAAAGCTAGATTGTGTGAGGTTACAGTGATCATAGAATGCTATCCAAATGAGAGAGTGCAGAGAAAAACAGAAGATCGACGCATTCAAAGGGATTGAGTTCGAGTTGTCCGTAGACCCCACTCGGACAGCGGTATCAAGCGTTTATGCCCCCTCCTGGTATTACTCGACTTTTTCATTCTTCAGTTTCGTTACCTAAGTGTCAGTAGGTTCTTAATGCAGACAGTGAATGATTTCTTTGCAGCTAGCATTTTTCCAAAAGGCCACCCGCTAAGTTACGCTCAAATAACGAGAATTCAGCTGAGCATCAAAGTGAATTCCTCAGAGCAGGTCTGAGTTGTGTTGCTCTCTCATAGATTTCTAAGAAGCCAATACGTCTAAGTCTAAGTCATAAGTTTTTGGCAGGAACGGCTGCATAAAATGGGTTAGATGGTGAGCATTGGATTCACAATATGAAGCTTCTTTTTACCATGAAATGCAGGTGGCTCAGAGAATCGAGGAGTCTTCTTAAGTTTCCGCGGATTTTGAAAGGTCCTGAGTTCAGTGTTATGCGCTGAAAACAAAGTTCATGTCACCGTAGATCAAAAGCTCGTTTTGAAAACAATAGTGTTCCACCTTGCAGGTTTGAGTTGTGTTGCTTTCTGATATATCGCTCTCTCACGAATTCCAAAGTCATAAAATAGTTTTGGCAGAATGGCTGCATAAAGTGGCTTAGATGGTGAGATATAGCAGCAGGATTTATGATATGAAGCTTCTCCTTAGCGTCTTAAGGAGAAGCTTCATATCATGAATCCAGACAGGTGGCATAGAAAATCGAGAAAGTCTTCTAGTTCCCGAATTTGTGAAGGTTCTGACTCCACTTATGCCTGAACAAAGTCGTGTCCACCGGTAGATTAAAAGCCAGTTTCTGAAAAAAAATAGTTTTCTACGTTAGTTTCAGACCAACTCCAAAGTATGCGACAGCTTTGGTGTAAGTTAGGTAGACCCATGGATTACGAGTGCCGCCTGCCGCTTCCCAAAGCCGTTTGCACGTGGAAGCCACACACTTTTCCAAGATGGAAAAAGCTCCATGGAAGTCTACTGTGTCATGCATTGCTCCAGTCTCACAACACGCAACACAACTGCAGAAGTGGAACTAGTGTCCCGACATAAAGTGGGGGAGATTGCATAAACGCCCCGTTCTGGAGGGAGTCGTAATAGCTGGGTGACTATCCGAGACGTCGTGTTTGACCCTGGCCACTGGAGTGCCCAGCTTTCGTAAAAGACGATCTGTTTCAGCCCTTTCAAAAAATTTTGAACTTGTTTTTTCTCTTCAATATAAGTAACAGCTGGAGTGGTCCGAGATCAGATAAAGAATCTGAAAATGTAGCGTTGGAGGAGTAGTGCTGTCCGCGACGAACAACCTTTTACCGGTTTCGCGGCAAAAAACTAATAGGGGAGAGGGGTCGCTATAGCGATTATTAATGACTCTGAATGGCTTGATGTATTCAGGAGGTCATTAAAAATACACGTTACGCTCCATTCGGAAGTTCTGATACTTGTCATGTGCTGGGTGAATGGGTCCGCAGCCGTACGAAGCGTGCTGCTCAAAAGCGGCACACTTCTACAGAATAGTCATAGCCAGATGCTGTTCCGAACTTCATCCACAGGCAACGCATGCAGAAACAACAATGACGCAGGTCCTCCCACTCTTGATTGTTCCCTACACTTAGGCTTCTGCGAATTTTCCGAAATGATGTATGTTGCGCACTTCTGCAGCTGCAGGTCTGCCCACCACCTATATGTGAACTGGCCGCTGGTCGGTAAGGGTCTAGCGTTTCTACACGCAGTCTTTGCTAATTGTATGGTTGGGGTCATGATTACCATTACGTCTTCCTCAATGGTTCGCCCACTGTTCTATGAGGTTGTCAATTTTTCCAATTGATTACATACGAAAACACATGAGGTATCCATCTAACAAGGTCAGCAGATCGCTAATCCATTTCAAGGAAAGCTATATGTTGAGCAAAAAAATACAAACACGATTCAAAACAGCTCGTAACGATAAAAGTAGCAAGAGCAGTAATGACTGAGAATCAAAACTAAACAAAAAAAATTCATCCTAAAGAATCCTCCCTCGGATAACGACAAATAACTTCTTCGAAACCAGATAGATAAGTGTTGGTGGGTGTAGGAATTCTCGTTCTGCTACTTACTGTTGCAGAGTCTTGGAAACTATTGTGAAACCTACTTGAAGAGAGCACAAGGTCTACTCCTTTCTCATAAATACTCGTACCACATTTTGAAACACAACAGGCAAGGCTTTCAATGCTTTAGATGGCATGTTGAGCGCGCCATCGGTACCCACTAAATGACGTAGCAATGAAAAACAGTCTGCTTTTATCGTCATCGAACTATCTAAAAGCTCCGAACTTTGACGGCTAGGACCAACTTCACCAAGGCTATGATCAAAACCCTACCATGTTTTTTGTTCCGAAATCCTACAACTTGGGCATCTAGATTTTACCAGTTGAAAGGCTAGGGGGATCACAAGGGAGCGAGACGACTCCTTGCCATGTAGCAGATGGAAGGGGGACGGGCAAGAAAATCGTAAGTTGCCGCTCCACTGCGCGCGGCGATGGGCGCGGCGTTTTTTTTCGGGAACACAACAGGCACAGCTTTCAGTGCTTGAGATGGCATGTTTAGGCCCGCCATCGGTAACTCCTAATAACCTGTCGATTTTAGCACCTAACTTCATGCAGACCCCCGTCATCGTAGGCATTCATGACTATTTTTGGTTCCGAATTGAGTGTTGTCGCCATCTACTACCTGGAACCATCGTCATTTGCAATGGTAAGCGTCTCCCAATAGAACGGCGAATTACAATTCTGTCACACACCCGAGGCACAGGCCGGCAGCTGTAAAAGTATGCCACCTGCGTCACAGGAGCATTCACGGAAATGAATTCGGAGAGTTGTGAGAGCTCGAATTCGGTTACCCGTTACTTATAAAGTGCGGCACATGATTTGATGCCGAGACAATGCAGCGAGCAACCAAACGTGTGACACGATCAAATACGATCCCCCTCCCAAACGCGTTGCGCTGGATCCCGAAACAGTGTCTAGAATTCTCTACCTTCCACCCTCGTTTTGGTGCATTTTCGAGTGTGGCACTTTTCTTCAATAGCTACTAGTTTACCTCGCATACGATAAGGGTAAGGATCATCAAAGGGGAGTGTAGATCGTAAGGTTTAGCGTTTGCCCACTCCACCTCTTCAATATCTTAGTCATTCTGAATCAATGACTAGCTCGATGCACAGCCTAAGATTTGTTTTTTAGGTTGCGAAAGACAAAGTTCCTGGGAGACAAACTGTGCTCACGTCTCTAGGAACCTGGTCCTTTCATGGGCAAGGTGAATGGGTCTGTAGCAGCAGTAGAGTGAAATTTCTTGAGTGAAAAAAGTACTAGTACCGTTAGCGTGCTCCACCCGCATCGCATCACGGCCACCCACCCGCCAAACCATGACCAATGACCGAGCTACTTGTCTTTCCCTCTGTCTCTTTTGATTATTCTCTATAAGAATCTCGGCAAAAAGGAATCTGTTTCTTCCCTCTGGATTCTTTTTAGCGACCTGAGTGCTGCACCTTCAGGATAGCGCGAACTTGGTCGAGGACGACACTCAGGTAATGCTA